TTGCGCCATCTCCACTGCCGTCTGGAAGCCAAACGAACGGTCGATGATGCCGATGTCGTTGTCGACGGTTTTGGGTATGCCAGTGATGGATATGTTCAGTTTGCGCCGTTGGAGTTCTTTGAAGATCGCGAGGACTCCCCTCATTGTACCATCACCCCCTATGCAGTATACCTGTGAGGAGAGAGAGGTCTAAGTGCAATAAATTTTTTTTCAGGATAACTAAAAAGTTCAAGGGCTGATACCCATACAGCACGGCGGGTGTACCTGTGCAATTAACCTTGTGTGGCTCGATGACAATGTGGAAGAACACAAATGTACTTGCACATGTATACATCAGGGCATAATTTGTAACTAGCGTATAGTATCAATAGAGATGTTGAAAAATGTCACTGAGGTGAATGCAATATATCCTATTAAGATCCGGATGGTGCTATCTAGACAACAAGCCCCAGACTACTTTGGAGTCGCAAGAAACAGAACTAGTCAAATTATCACTTCTACTTATATCCCTTATCTTCTGTCAGAAAGATACCAACTCGCAGATGGTAAGTTCCATAACAGAGTCATGTAAAATATTCCATTCTCCAGCAAAGACTTCTTCCTTGAAGTTCCATACTTAATGCATCGGATGTTAACTCAATGCGTAAAGGTTACATCAATAATAGAATGGGAAGGCTTTAGGATTGAGCTTTCATTAGCATACTAATGTGGATATGTCAACCTCAGAGACATGCATAACAGTTCTGATATATATACATAATGGCATCCATATGATAAAGTGAATTTACAAATAGATGGCTACAGAACTTTCACAAATACTAAGTAGGCAAGTATAACTTGCAAAGGAGTTTTCACGATAGCTGTGTTCATTACTATCGTATTCCTATGCAGAACAAAGATTCAGAACCAGAGCTCTCTATCTCATTGTCTTGGCCTTAAGAGTTAAAGAAAAACTGACGGCAGCAAAAACTTACTTGGATATAATGCCTACAGCACTAGTGGCCTTCAGAGATGTATGAAGCAAATAGGAAACTGAATCTTAATTGATCAATAATATATATGCTGCAGAGCAATTCCCAGACAAATTAGCCTCTACTGCAAGTGATAAATCATTTCAAATAAGATAGCAGTTTCCTCCATTGACATCTCAGCCAATTTGTAGAGGACATATGTTGGTCACATATTTCATGGAGTTGATATGTGAGTGAGTTTAATGCCAGATATGGAGCTAAGAAATATTGATATATGAGATTGGGACCAAGACTACTACATTAACATCCGGTAAAAGTGGATCATAAGTCATTATCACTGACTCATGTTACAGTCCAGCAAGATCAATGGCTCATGGTGCAGGAACATCTTCTTCCATTACAAAGTTTCTAAAGACATTGTATATTTTCCAGGATTGCCTTTTTTACCTCAGTTCTAATAATACCTAAGCTAAATGCGATAAATTTTTTAATTCAACATTTATTAGAGAAAATTGCAGTAATTCATTGAGTAGTGTCGTTTAGTTCAGTGACAGTAGTCCATCATGCTCGTTTTTTTTGGGAGAACCAAATCATCATGAACTTCGAACAGTTGTAGTTATTAGTTCAGTTACAATATCTAACTGTCATGTGTTTTGATCAGTTGTAGTTATGAATAAGTTATGCATCCCTAGTCATATGTTGTAAAAGCCTACAAAACATCGGAATTCCACTCATGAAATCAGTGTACAGTGGAAAATAAATGGGAATTTAGGCTGTTGAATCAGGTAAAAGGCATATATCATTCCCTATCCATTATCCAGCCACCACTTGTTTCTGACATATCCTGTTTTTATTCTTCGTTGCCCCATTTCTCGGCACCACACAAGATTAATTTCTCTTTCTTTAGCTCACCTTAATATCTGCTGACATGAAAGATATGGTCCTTTTAATCAATCCCAACTTCAACAGGTTTAAGTACAATATTCTTTCAATGACCATTGTAGGTCAAAGTCAAAACCTTCGAATCAACGATAGTTGAGAACTTCGCGGATTACTATCGAAAACCCAGAGTCGACCCACCACCAATTTAAACTCAGTGAGAACTCGGTGGTACGAGGTACAAGGCGAGGCTAGTGGCTAAGGGATTTGCACAAAGAGAGGGTATGAATAACAATGAGATATTTTCTCTGGTGGTGAAACACACTTCTATTCGGGTGCTATTGAGTATTGTTGCTCTTGGTGATCTTGAGCTGGAACAACTCGACGTCAAGACGGCCTTCTTGCACGGAGACTTGGATGAAGAGATCTATATGCATCAACCGGAGGGCTATAAGGTTGAGGATAAGGAGCATCATGTATGTCGCTTGAGGAAGTCACTCTATGGATTGAAGCAATCTCCTCGGCAGTGGTACAAGCGATTTGACTCCTTCATGCTGAAGCATGGATTTTCCCGAAGCGATTATGATTGTTGTGTTTACATTCGGAAGCTTCGTGGAGGTGATTATATCTATCTTCTTTTGTATGTGGAGGACATGCTTATTGCATCGAAGAACAAAGTGGAGATAGACTAAAATCTCAACTTGGTAAAGAGTTCGAGATGAAGGACATGAGCGCTACAAGAAAAATACTGGGTATGGAGATTAGAAGAGAGCGGGCGAATCGGCGATTGTTCTTGAGTCAGAAGGGTTACATAGAGTGGGTGATCGCAAGGTTCGGGATGCAAAGTACAAAGTCGGTGGCGACTCCATTGGCTTCACATTTCAGGCTCTCAGGTAAACAATCTCCCACTACAGTGGAAGATAAGGCATACATGGAGCGTGTTCCTTATGCTAGTGCAGTTGGCAGTTTTATGTATGCCATAGTGTGTACACGTCCAGATATTTCACAGGCGGTTAGTGTGGTCAGCAGGTTCATGGCGAATCTGGGAAATGCGCACTGGGAAGCGGTGAAATATGTCCTAAGGTACTTGAAAGGTACCGCGGATACGGGTCCTGGGAAGTGGTGGAGACTATGTTGGAGTATAGTTGCAGAACTATGGTTAGCTTGATCCCGGTGGAGGGTACGTAGGCAGCCGTGGTATAGTGACGCAACTGGTTTGGCCTGGATCTCTCTGGTGAAGTTCGTGGTGTTCTCCTGATGTTCGTCCAAAATTTGAGGTTTATCAAATGATGTATGAGGTGGAGAATTGTGAACGTGGGTCCCCATGCTCTTACCCATGTTGTGAACAAGCATGGGGAACCGGCAGCTAACAAAAGCTAGGCTGTGAGGGTACAAGCATGGGAGTTCTTGGCCATGCTATGAGGGTACAAGCATGGGAGGGCCATGCTCTCTTGATCGGCCCTCACTCCCTTCGGTTCCTATAAATAGGAGTGGAATTGAAGAGAGAGTTGTGTGGGGAAAATCTGGTGTGGGAAATTCTTGAGTGAGTGAGAAACTTGAGAGGAAAAGAAAAGAGAGAGGAAGAGAGAACTTATAATAGTTTGATATTCTCCTCATAGTGAAACCTCCCTCCCGTGGACGTAGGCAAGTTTGTCGAACCACGTAAATCTCGTGTTTGTATTATCTTAACTGTAAGTTGCCATTGCTTGTAGGTTCCCTTGACATTTCAGTCCTAGAACTGATGAGAGGAAGAGTGTATATTTCACTTTGTTGAAATATCTCACTTTCGATTCTTGTTTCCTTTGAGAAATAAGAATTTCACTATCTATTATAGTTTTCTTTGAGAAACAAGAATATAGAGGTTGACTTGTGCTTTTGTGATAACAAAAGCCAATGCTATCTCTCAGGTGATATCGCTTCCGAGGCGTGAGGGCGTGACTTTGCGTCCATCAATAAGAAATTCTATAGCTAATAGCCACTGTTAGTTGACTTGGATTTAGTGCAGTTTAATTTCACACCTGCGCATGACTAGTTTTACAATCAACTGTGTTCCATATGTGTTATACAAGTTCTTTACAATGAATTATCTTTCTGCTTGTCTTTCATGACTTCCTCCATAGATTACAATTGTACTGCTATGTTTTGTATGTCGATCTTTTCTCGAGAAAAACTTCACCTCGCATGCACATGTATTTTCTGTTTGTTCAAAATCCTCGATTGTTTTTCTAAGGCTGTGACGCATGGGGTCCTGAAAATCAAAATTCATAATGCTTACTTCTCCTTGTATTTTGTTCAATTGTAGCTCATTTAAGTGCAAATATAAAGAATAGGGTATAATTTCTGAAAGTAACTTTAGATCAGCCAACACTTGATCTCTGCTTATAGGTACTAGAAACAGATTACTGTTATATTGTTGAAAATGGTATCATGATTCATCTTTCTGAAAACATCCACGGCTTGATACAACATGCAACAGGACCTCCACGCACACAAACTGAAAATTTCACTATGTTTTATGCACAAACTGAATATCTCACTATGTTTTATAACATCTAAATTTGGATTATGTAATGTTCTCCATTGTGATAGAGTTATGTCATACTGATGTTGTTGCTGTTTTGTTTATGCTTTGTTCTCTTTTTGTTTTCTCAGTTTGCTTCCTATTTTTAATGCTAAAGTGGTGTATCAATTTCTGTGAATCATGGAATTAGGGGATGGTTGTTTAGGATCCTCTTGTTTCTTGTATTTTGTCTTATGCTGATAGGTGGTACATCTGTTTGATTCAAAGTCTCTATACGCAGTTTATTCTTCTTGGTTTCTCATGTTGGTGCAATTAGTAAAATTCGTGAGTCTTTCTTGATTAGCATGCTTATGGAGTCCTCGATCTAACTGATAAATTGAGGAAAAGTAAACTGGTAATTGCTCAGTATTGTGCGTGTGCAGTTACTGATGAGCAGTAGCTCATCTGTTTGCTCAATGCAAAAGAGTCACTGAAAAATTGTTTATCACTATCATTTTTCTTCTTTTGGTTTAGCTAACATATAGTAGTTATATTCTGCATATACTTCGCTAATTTTCTTTTGTTATGCTATGTTGTGTTCTTTTTAGATCTATTACTTACACTATGCTGCAGTATTATTTGCCTGGAGCAGCTATGGTTCGGTTTTGTGATATATCCTTCTGCTACTGTGTTGTTTATGCTTAGACCCTGAGGTCTGGTGTTGATATTTGCTTAGATGATTGAATTGTTGGCTAACTTATATACTGCTGAGAATGTGAATTCACACAAATATTTTGGTTTACTTCTAAGTTATAACTATATTGGAGCTTATGTTGGTTTATAGGCAGAGGTGTAAGAATCTTTCTTCATTGTGATAGAGGGTTATGTTGGTTTACTTCTAAGTTATAACTATATTGGAGCTCACATCTTCATTTATGTTTTACTTTTTACAGTGTTAGATATAATTTGTAGCAAAATTTCATA